CAATACCACTCAGATCAACTAGACAAGCCCAGTCAGCACATCTTTTCGTTGTCAACCTCGGAAGATGTCGAACAGCACTTTATCAAAATTCCTTCATCCATAGAACGGCTAGGCTCTGGAATTCATTGCCTGAAGAAGTATTCCCAATAACATATAATCTACAGAAGTTCAAAAAAAAATCCAATACCTACCTCGTGTCCCTATTCTCCCTAGGAACGCACGATGTTCTTTGAACATTATAGGGATTTCCTCTCGTGCACTCCAAGCGATAAAAAAAATGAGGGGTTTTCTGAATATTTCTGAAATCCTTTGTGATAAAATAACAAAAATCTATACACCTTACTTTTCATCCTCAATTCAAAAATGTTGAGGATTTTCAAAGATTTCGATCAGTGGCGTGAGAGGGCACGGAAGGAGGTGTGAAAAGGGTCACGTGCACTTTTTTCCCAAACTTTTTCATTTGTTCAATTTTTAGTATTTTTAGCTTTGACCGTTTTCGAGATGAATCGATTTCGAAATTCTGCTTAGTAATAAAAATAGTGCTTTTTCCCTAATATGGTACCGACTTTTCCCAAAAATAATGGTTTGATGGAAAATACCCCTTCATTCAACATCTACTTCTGGTACTAACCATATTGAAAAAAGTACTATTTCTATCACGCATCAGAATTTTAAAATCGATTTTTCTAGGAAATGGTGGAGTGCTATCGAAACTGTTTCCATATTTGGAGTGCAGCACCCAAATATATCCTGAAACTGTTGGATTCTGTCCAAAAAAAGGGCAATTCGTCTCGTGGGTGATGCCTCGCTCACAAACTCACTCACTTCTCTGGAACACCGTAGAAAAGTTGGCGATCTGGCTCTATTTTATAGATATTTTCATGGACGATGCTCTTCCGAAATATCAACAATTGTTCCTCCATTGGCAGTCCCTGCGAGATTAACCCGTCGAGTTGAGGCTTCGCACCCCTTCGTGGTCACTTTGGAGACTTGCAGAACATCTCTCTCCAAAGACTCGTTTATCCAACAAACAGCGAGGCTCTGGAACACATTGCCAAGAGAGGTGTTCCCCGAGGCATACTACCCCCAGAAATTAAAGAAGAAAACCAGTTCCTACCTTATTTCCCTTGGTTCTCACGATGTTTTCTGAACATGACAGGATATCCCTTTTCGTGGGAATCAGAACATAAAAAAAAAATTCGTTGTGAAACTTTCGAAAATTGCAAAAACGAAGAAGTTGGTGGAAAAAGTTTTCCTAACCTCTCCAATTTCCCACGGCCCTGATCAAAAGTTCGAATTTTCTACTTCTTGAGTGCAGGGTAGCATCAATTTAATTTTTCACAGATATATTAATATTTTTCATTTTCATAATAGTATATTATGTAACAAGTGTTATAAACGTCCATTTAGTAACGAGTATTTTAAGCACGAGCGGAGCAGAGCGGAGCGAGTGCTTTAAACGAGTGTCTAGAAGAGTTTATAAACGCGTTACATACTATGCTTTTTCTGAGTCGAAAATAACATTAACATACCTGCTATTCTTGCTAACCTACAAAATAACTCGAAAGGAATGGGAATTGAGAACATAATACATGCAACTGCATGCAACCAGCAAGACACGTATAAGTGATATTGGTTGTAGATGTGTCCACTCCATTGCTTACTAACCTTTGTTTCACGTTTGTTGTCATGCTTAGCGCAAAATAAATGAATTGTTCTCAAAGATGGATGCTTCATTTTTACACTCCTTGGAGATATGCTAGTACCAGAACATTCTCTTCGATTTCACTTTCGTCTATACATTTCGCTTATATTTTTAATGAAGAATTCTGATACAAATGAAAATTGTTTGAATAATTCTGATACAAAATTCGAAAATAACAGTTGACAGTTAATACAATTGACAGGCCAGACATGTCTCAAATTACTGAAGCTGTGTTTAATGAACTGTGTTGCCATGGTGATGTGTTTAAGAAATCGTGTTGCTATGGTAACTTGTTTAATATTTCGAATAAATCACAGATCGTCAATCCGTGATTAATCGATCATTTAGCGTGGTACATATCCGTACGCTGAATGCCATTTTAGTTATGTGAGTAGAAAAATAAATATCTAGGTATAATCTTGATATTATCGCATAGCAGAATGCAATTTCTTTGATAACTTTATGTAAGTCGTGAAACGTTTTGCTAATGGCGTTTGTGCAACCCCTTAACTACCGCTAATTATATATTCGGATAAGTTCCTAGACTTTATCTTTCTAGCTATTATAACCGTTTGGCAAAAACCATCGCTAATCCATCGAAATTGCTACTAATTGCTTTCAATCAGTGATCGGTATACGTGATACCAGAGGCGCAGTATATCATCAGAATACTATCTTCTATCATACAGAGTGATGTCCTAGAAAATAAAGTGAGCGATATACCTATATCTCACTATTTTTCAGCTCAAATATTCAATTCGTTGAGTAGTTACTATCTCATTATGGATCATTTCCTATACAACAGAACTGAAAGAAGTTCATTCCAAATGTACTCAGTTGATTCGTTTATTCGATGAATTGTGTTTTCAATCACACTGATTGCTTTTGTGTCAATGTATCCGAATCAAATTATTCCTTGACATGTTCTCGATGAATTTTTCTTCTGTGATGTTGAGTGATGGTAGCTATTAGAATTCAAAATTGCCGCCTTATTCAACCGTCAAATGCTGACATGCGCAGTAGAATTCTTGGGCTTTTTAGAGATGCAGATATATTGCCCTATCTGCGATCAACATTCCAAAAGTCCAGATCAATTTTTTGAAGCTGACATACACTCAGTTGTCTTTTAAAAAATGAAGGGGTGAAAATTTTGTCAAAGGAATAACTCGAACCATGACTAAAACTTTCCGAATTACAGCTTTTTTTGCTGAATCGTTGCAGATAACCAACTTTCTGAATTTATCGAGAAACAATTTTTTAATGAAATAAACTGATACCAATAATTTCAAATAACATTTTTATTAAACACAAAATTATAAATTGGGATGACTGCTTAATACCGTGTATTGCCTACTCTAGCAACTCTAAGAACTTCTAATCTACGAGGCATACTGGAAATTAAGTTGCTTATCGTTTCCATTGGTATACGATCCCATTCTTCCACTAATGCATCTGCCATTTCTGCGAGACTTTCCAGAGACCTCTCGCGAGAACGTACCCTTCTTCCTAATGTTCTATAGGATTCATATCGGGGCTTCTCGCAGGCCATTGTAATGTGGTAATACCAGTAGCTTCTGAGAAGTTTCACACTATTGCTGCGGTGTGTGGTCGGGCATTATCCTGCATCAATATAAAATTATTGCCCACTAACTCTGCATGAGGTAAGACATACAGCTCTGAAATGTCAATGTAAATTTGGGCATTCATCGACTGCCTCACCGGAAAAACATGAAGGGGTGTCTTTCCATTCATTGAAATCCCTCCCCACACCATAACGGACCCACCATTCAAACTTTGGAATTGTTATTAAATTTTGATTAAACCGTTCTCCAGTTCTTCTCTACACTCTTCCTCTTCCATCCATCATGTTAAGGCAAAACCTTGACTCATCCGTAAACAAGACATTCGACCATTCAGGAATATTCCACTGTCCATAATTTTCAACAAAATTTCTTCTAGCAGCACGATGTTCGGGCAATGATTTGGGACCTCTTGCAGGTCTCCTAGCTTTTAAATTAACTTCTTTTAGACGTCTACATACCCTCTGCTTACTTACTGCAACATCACGAATTTGGCGAAGATCTTGCTGAACATTTACCGCAGTATTTGATCAATTCCGTAAAATCCGCAATCTCAAGAAGCGATCATCTCTTGGAGAAGTTTTTCGGGGGCGACCAGAACCAACTCTCCGAGCGGTGCTTCCTGTTTGTTCAAACTTGCGGATTGCTTTACGAGCAGTTGCTTCATGAACTCCCACTGCACGAGAGCGGCGTAACGTTTACTACGCCCATCGTTTACTAACGCAACTAATCTTGCTACTTGTTCAGGATTTATTTGAGGCATTTTATGTAATTTCAGTCAATAAAACAAGACACCTAATTAATGACACAACGACAAATTTTGAGAACTCTTATCCTTCAATAAATTTAATTTGTGGGATGAGCGTAAGGTATCAGCAAAAAAGCTGTGATTCGGAAAATTTTAGAGATAAATCAATGAATAGAAAAACGAAATGCTCGCAAAAGAAGCCTCTTTCGTATAGGGTGTGAGCTTTGTATACCATTACTCAATTAACACATAGGGTGAGTCAAAAATTAAGAATAAATCATGGTTCAAGTTATTCCACCACCATCAAGGAGGCTTTGAAAAAATGTTCACCTCTTTATTTTTTATCAAGACAAATGCATTACCTACCAACAAATAAGAAAAAAAATGAAACTCGGCCTACTATTTTTTTTTAAGAAGATAGGTCAAATGCGTCACTTTTTTTGGAACTGAGTGTAGATATCGTTCCAGGACTATTTTATTTGCAGTATTGAAATGTAAAACTATAGATAAATTATATCACTTCGACAGTACACTCTTCTAACTGATCTCTGGATTTGTAATCTCCTTGTTTATGGCTTTTGCTTGAAACCCCTGAAGTGTTCAGAAGATCAGTATTTGATCATCCACTACTGGACAGCTATACTGTCTCTCATTCTCCAACCTATACTGCCCCTTTGCACCTAATACATGTACCGACCATCATCTATGATATCATAAAATAATGTGCGGTGTTCATCTCAGATAGAGTATATCATTCTGGATGATTTTATATACAACAGAGCTGAAAGGAGGCCATCGAGAGATGTCTATTATGTGTATATAAGTGACGTTCATTCCAAATGTACTCGGTTGATTTGCTTCTTCAACAAATTTTGTTTCTATTCACACAGATTGCAGAGGTATCCATGACACCAGAATACTTTTTTGAGAGGGATGAGTAAGCTGACATAGATATCGTTCCAGAACTATTTTATTCGCAGTATAAAAATGTAAAACTATAGGTATAAATAATATCACTTCGATGGTACCCGTCCTCTTCTAATTCATCTCAAATTCAGTATTTGTAACCTCCTTGTTGATGGCTTTGCTTGAAACCCCCGAAGTTTCCAGACGATCCAAAGTGTCCAGAAGATCCGAAGTGTCCTTTCACTCCTGAAGAGCTGTACTGTCCCTCATTCTCCGACCTGTATTGTCCCTCCGCACCCGAAGACGTGTACCTTCCGTCATCCACGATACCACGTGCCTCCTCAGCCAGATTCTGCTCGATGGACCTCTGGATGGCCTCTGGAATCGGGGGAGGGGTAGGGAGGTGGGCTCCCTGAGCCTGGAAACCGTTTTCGTCGGCGGTGTACTGGATGTGGATCTGCTGACCGTCGGGGGCGGTGTAAGAGAAGCCTCCCTGGGCTTTGGTACCGTCGCCTCTAGCGTCGCCTTGTTCTTGAGCAGAAATGCCTGGAAAAATGGTAGATTGTTTCATTAGGATCAAAAGTGACACTTTGTTTGACAAGCGAATTTTGCATTTGCGAGGCGGAGCGTTTAGCGAAGCCGAGCGAAAGCAAAATTTGCGAGTCGAACGAAGTCACTTTTGATCCGAATGAAACATGCTATTTCTTCTGCAACCGAAACAATTAACTCAAATAAACATGTGAAATAATCACCAATGTCGTGCCATAATATGTAGGTATGCAATGCAACAAATATTGACATATAATCCATGTGGTGAGAATATTCTACCTGCATTAACAGCAGGTTAGGTTTGCTAGGATGTTCGAATTGTAGTTTCAATTTCAATATAAATACAACCACAGAGTGACATATTTGTGTATGGACCAGGTGCTCTAATGGCAAATAACGCGCCAGTGCCAGCTATAGGAACAAGACGTGGAAAATGTTAGGTTAGTGAGCATATCAACAATGATAATAGTGATTATTTTTATTCCTCTCCATACTATACTGTGTTTGACTTGATAATCAAATGAAGCTGAACAATATCGTTGTTTGAGACAAAAAAATTATTGCTTGCCGTGATTATTCAAAAATAAGTTATCCATCCCGAGAATAACGAATGAAATACAGATCAAGCAAGTATTTGAATCTTGAAGGCTTCCCTGATCAAAACAAAAATACTTAACTGAGATGTTTATAATTCCAATACTAAACTATAATAAGGTGTATTTATATCTCCAGCATGGGTATGAAATGCCAAATCTGCTGAAATCGGAAACAAATCAGGTATGCGTCTCAACCCAAATAACCAACCGTCACAATGTTGTTCATTCTTGATGACGTCCAGTACATCCTTTTTAGTTCCTAGGAAGTAAAGTTCAACTTTAGCTCCTAGGAACTAAATATGTTGCCTAGCAACATACCAATTTTTGTGTCAGTAATAGAAACGTCAATTTAAGAGCTAATTTTGATATCAAAATGGACGACTTTTGTGTCGGTTGCAGAAAAAAGTGTTTATTTACAGCCATATACATACAGGGTTGGGCAAAAGTATGGAACCAGGTGATTATCTCGGTAACCGTTTGTTAGATTTCTTTGAATATATGTACATGGTGAAATCAAAACGTGGTGGATTCGAAAATGTTATCGTTGATGTTGCCACTTTCTCAGTTATTCCGGAATTATTATCAACTTTCTTATTTTGAACAGAACACCCTGTATTTTATTAAATTTACAGATTCTCCCTGAAAAGTTGATTTCATCGATCCATCACACTTGGGGTCAAGCAAGAATGATTACTGAGATATAGGGTGTTTAAAATCGGGTTTTTGCAACTTTACGATTTTTTTGTATCGAAACTATTCATTTTTGGTCAAACGGTCCATACGTCAAATTTAAATTCACTATCTATCGACATTTAATTGAAACAAATATAGGGTGGTTCAAGATTCAAAAATCTGATCACCACCAATCGAATTTGGACAATTAAAGACTTTTAAACTGGCACAAACCTATTTAAATTCAAAATGAAGATAAATTAGAATCGTATCAAAACATATGGGTTTTTTCAAATTATTTTAACGTGTACAATACAAACCTGGAATATGGTGCGTTCCACCCTTAGATGCTCGAGCATATTCCTCGTAATGTTTTCGGAAATTTTCTCTTACAAAACAATTAAAAATATCTCAAGAAATAAAATTGTGAATTCAAAAATAATGGTAGTATACACATTAACTTACATACCTTGGGAGGAAAACAATTTGAAAAAAAAAAACTATTGAAAATACCTAAAAAAATCAAATTTCCAGAACAATCAATTGTTCACCAAGATTTTAGGATCGAAATGTAGGTTGAGATGATATATGAAGGATGGCTGTATCAGCATTGACCTACAAACCTTGGAAGAGGAGCAATTTGGAAAAAAATACATAAAAATATCGAATTTTCAAATCAATCTAGTATTAGAAAAAAAATGTTTTTCGAAAAATGTGATATTTGGTACTTCTGAAAATAAATATTTCCCATTGCAGCTCTATTTCCCGAGAGTTTTTCTTGAATGGTTTATTGTGACCTTATCTGATATATTTTTGCGAAAACGGAGTGCCTTGCAAAAATAATGTAGATATAAATATTATTATCCAAGATTGAGTAACTGTGAACGTTCTATGGAAAAAACGAGGAAATGAATCCACAACGTGATACAGCAAAGTCGATGAAATTCACATTCAAATTTTTTTGTGAACTATCACCTCTATGACTTCTTACTCATTGGAATGTTGTTCAGTAGTATATACAAGGTGCATCTGTATTCACAGTGCATTCCTGTCCTTCCCCCCTTTATTTTTTTATCGAGTCAACTGGAAAAATTTAAACTTGGGATAATAAATTTGATGCATGACTACCATATTCTGAAGTAAGATTGACAGATGAAAATTTCAAGATGACACTGGGTGCCATCTGCAAAAAAAATCAAAAGGAAAGTTGGGTCTTGGGATCACCACATTACTCCATTCCTCCAGGCAAATTAGAAACATTTGGATAATACTTTTTCTGGTCGTTGGATTGGCCGTCGCGGTCCTACGGAATGGCCAGCTCGCTCGCCAGATTTGACACCTTTAGACGTTTTTTATGGGGCTATATATGAAGCAGAATGTGTACGAAACTGCACCTGCTTCAATATTAGATATAAGACAGAAAAAACGATAAATATGTGTAGAAATATCGACGTAACTGTGTTCGAAAGTGTTCAGCGTGAAATTGGGATAGGCTGCTCTTGAGTCAAGATGTTCAAGGCAACCATCTCGAGCATCTTCTGAACTGTACTCAAATCAAAAGAAGAAATCAAATCGAAGAAAAGCACTGTATATAACATAAATAAACCTAACCTGCTGAATTCTCTGAATGGAAATTATGAAGAAGTTTACTTCATCTAGTCAGAAAAGATGGACGAATGCATGAATCATAATGTGCCTATTTAATATTGAATGATTGGGAATATTCAAGTGGATTGAAGCATGTCATTGTGTATCACCTCGTATGATTTTCACTGAGCAAAATTCTAATGATGTGTGAGAAGTCATTCATAAACTCGCCAAGTTTCTTCGAGTACAAATTCCTTCGATCTTAGTATATCACCCTGTATACTCTTTCTCCTTTCTCTCAATTTTTTTTGTGGGGCAAAGAGGAAAATCATCAATTTCGCCATATTGATTTTAGAAAAAATGTCTTCTGCGCCTCCATTTTATATACAAATGTCCACTTGCATGCGATATGTCATTGTGAAGGACATTTTTGACTATATCCAATGTCGTAAATATATGTATGTACAATGTTCTATTCGAAATTCTCGACCTACGTCCATTTCTGGTTAAACCAATTTTCAATTGTTTTTTCATGGAAAATATGGGTTTTAAGGAAGTATATCTTCGAATCACATGTCATGAGTCTAACATAAAGAAGAACTGAAAGATGGCCAATGATTTTTTTTATCACATGGTATTGCTGTAGTCAAAATCCTAAATAAAGAGTGTCCAAATTTCTGTAATCTATGAATTCCTGCCCATTCTTACCGTTGGCGGTTTCATAATTGTAACGGTACGATCCGTCTCCGTTGTTCTCTTCGTCCAATCGTAAGATCGGAATTTGTTGCCCCGATCCCGAATACGCTCCTGCACTGTGAGATCCAGAGTACGCAGACGCAGACTGCTGGGACCGCACGACGGCGACATTACCCGAAGCAGCACCGAAAGAGCCCGAACCATGGCCGAAGGAGCTCGAACCAGAGCCGAAAGAGCTCGATCCAGAGCCGAAGGAGCCGGAGCCAGATCCGAACGAGCCCGAATGAGAGCCGAAGGAGCCCGAACCAGAGAAGGAGGAGCTTTGGTGGGGTGGGAGGTAGGAAGAGTCGAGTCTGCCACATGAGGCGTATCCTAGTAGGGTAACGATGAGTAGAACCTGGAAATATAGGGAAGCATCATCAGTCACTGAGTCTATCAATATTATATCAGCTTCAACAAAATATTGAAAACGGTAAGTACCTATGTCAGAAAGTAATCGAGTTTTACACGCAATGAGTTAATCGTCATCTTTGCAAGAAACATTTTTGCTATAGACTGAACTGAAGGCTATGATGATAATAGTATTATGGGTATAACAGTAAAACATCGATAATTTAATACATAAGAAAGAAACTGAATTAGAATGATTCTCAGTTAATATGATAGAGATTCAAAAGGGTTATAGAATAGTACCTGTCCAGTATAGATATTTTACAATTTTTTTTATAATTGGAGGCATACAATGTATCCAAGATAACCATATCCGTAAAAGTATATTGTTTAACGAGCACGGAATGAATGAAAGCTAATGCTGCAAATCATACGAGTGGGAAATCAGCATTGCGTGCGAGTTATACACTATACTTTTTCTACAGCGAAGTTTTTCATCTCTTCGGCTTGAAGACTTCTGATTTTCTGTCAAGTAATGCTGATCTACTAGACAGAGCTGTCACTGCTTGAAATTTGATATTTTATGGAAGATGAGATTTTGTGAAATACTAAAAAATGAAGTTCACAATGACTTCATCAGATACGGAAATAAAATTGATGACATACAAAGTAGCTCATTATTGACTAATTGAAGACTCTGAAGCAAGAGCAATATTGTGTCATAGCCGCTTGAACAAATTGACATTATTTGCGAGTTATGCACTATACCTTTTCAATGGCTTCAACATATAATAGCGAAATGATTCAACAACAGAAATAACATAAAGTTCAAATTTAATGTCAGTAAAAAACAAAGCTGCCAACAAAGGAATATTCATTGACATTCCATGGAGGACGTGATTTATTGTATGATAATAACCACAACTGAACCACAAGTAATTAGTTCATCAGGTGAGTGAGTTAAATTGATTTATCGAAATCAGTGAAACAAGAGCATTTTTGTTCCATATCCGTAGAAAAATAGTACATTGTTTCATTAGGATGAAATGTGACACTTTGTTTCGAGGCCGAGCACGCAAATTTTGCGAGTCAAACATGGTCACTT